GTAATAGGGATATCTGCGAGAACTCTTACCCATATCTTACCATTTCTTCGGAATTGTCCGCTCATAGCACGATGGAAGTGTCCGATTATAGCACGACGCGCTGCTTCAATGGCTCGATATGAAAGACGACAGGTGGCTCTTATGCCACTTTTGATGGTCTCGGTTCGGACGTAGAATGGTTATTGATTATAGAGAAAAAAGCAGAATGGTTATTGATTATAGAAATTTAAATGCAAAAACTAAAACATATAATTATCTGATACCAAATAAAATACTAAATATATACTTAACGGTATAGAGATAATTGAATTAAGAAAGATCATATGGGAAAAAATATTTGATGACTACGAATTAGAAGATATATTAAATCAGCAAGTGTATGAAATAGACCTATATGATTTAGACTTCGAAAGAATAGAATAGTATGAATTTAGAAAAAATTCAAGATTAAAATGAACTACAAATATTTACAATATTGGATATAATCTATGGAAGATATAAAACTATTAGAACAATTAATGGAGGAAAATTTATATATGTACCAAAGAACCCAAGATATGTTATATCTAGAATACATCACAAATAATATTAAAGAAATATTCAGATTAAAAACAACTAATCAAAAAAATAATTACAATAAGTATTATTACATTTTACCATGAAAAAAGAATATTATAATAAAATCTTTAAAATAAATTCCTCACCTACCACACTACCAATAATATGAATTCATCAACTACCAATTCCGCACCCCTGAAAAATGATATCTTTCACATTAGCATAATAACACTTTATACAATATCACATTAATACCATTAGAACATCTTAACATTATAGCTTCACACAAACTTTACATATAGCTTCATATAGGACTTTACATATAGCCTCATATGTGTATAATAATACAACAATATAATAACAATCATATAATGCGCTTCATGGCCTCAATTCACAATAATACAATATTCCCACATTATACGACAACTTCACCAATGCCTTCATGGCTACAATTCACAATAATACCACACAAGAATAAGATATAACACTTCGGGATCCAACCTACCAACAACAATCAATTCAATAAAGAGAGTTCAAGCCTTCTTACCATAATCCAAAGCCATAGCCAAAATCACCAATACTTCACCCATAAGGCTTACCACCCATAATTCATCCATTATCAACAATTAATCATAAATAAACATTAAACAACACAAGAGATATCAATACCATTCACTTTACACATAATTCCATCAACTTTGAATTTATAGAAAAAGACGCACTTCATAGCAAATTTTAGGGTTTTGTAAAAGACAAGGGTTCATGGAGTATTTCATTCAAAAACCACAAACACATCAATTAATCCATACCCAAACGTTTCAAATCATTTTCATACAAGAACCCTTGATAGAATTCAAAAACAAGCTTTTAGTCAATTTTTGAAAACATTGTAAAATCCTTTGAAGTTGACTCTAGGATGAAGATGAGTCCTAGATGAAGAGCCACTATACCTCAATTGATGAAATCTCAACGAAATTTGGTGGAAGGGAACCCTCAATTGAAACCCTAGCTCTCCACCTTCTTCTTCCTTGAACTTGAGAGAACTTTAGAGAGAGAAAGAACTTTGGGGTTTTGATTTTGGAAGAATGAATTCAAAAACACCTCTTAAATGTTTTAATACCTTTAAAATACTTAAAAACACTTAAAATAATAATAATCCAAAGTACCCAAACTACCCCTCACTTAGTTTGACCTTTTTAAACAAGTCCAACTTAGTTTTATTTTTGCAGATTTCGTCGGGAAACAAGTTCGCGACTTGGAGGTGTTCCCACAGGTTTTCTGGAAATTAAATTCGAGACAGTAGAGTCTGCGGTGTCTCCGCGATGCGGGGCTACCTTTTGGCCATTGGTGGAGCAGGTCCGCGACGCGGAGCCACTCCCTCCAAGGGTTGGGGTCCTCCTCGGGGACCCTTAGGGTGGTCCCGGGGAGTCGTACCCGAACGTTTTGATCCTAAAAACATTTATTAAGACACTAGGGTCACCTCCACTTATTTTAGACTCCGAACAACCCATAAAAACATAAACAACATACTAGAACACACCAACACGTAAAAGACTAGTTTCTGAATGGCTTGGAGGGTGGTCTCGGGGAGTCGTACCCGAACGTTTTGACCCTAAAAACATTTATTAAGACACTAGGGTCACCTCCACTTATTTTAGACTCCGAACAACCCATAAAAACATAAACAACATACTAGAACACACCAACACGTAAAAGACTAGTTTCTGAATGGCTTGGAGGGTGGTCTCGGGGAGTCAGTACCCGAATGTTTTGACCCTAAAACATTTATTAATACACTAGGGTTACCTCCACTGATTTTAGACTCCAAACAACACATAAAAACATGAACAACATACTAGAACACACCAACACGTAAAAGACTAGGTTCCGAACGTCTTGGTCGTCCCTTGACGTTTGACTTCCAAACTCTTTAAAACTGACTAAAAAGGCTATTCTTCATTATTTTAACAAGTTATTAATGCATAGGACCTGAGTGAAGCATATTATTTGAGGATATTTTTTGAAGTGGACTCACACTCACAAAAATGTTCAATGCATGCAACTGTAATACCATATGCTTGAAGCAAGCCCCTCGAATGTGGTATAGCAAGATTGATGGATACTTCCACAAAAATGGATACATAAGAAGTGAGAATGAACCCACCTTATATGTGAAGAAGGAAGGTAATGATTTCATTATTGTATGCCTTTATGTTGATGATATCATTTACACTAGTTCTTAAGTCTCAAATGATGAATGAGTTTGAGATGTCAGATATGGGTTTATTACATTACTTTCTTGGCCTTCAAGTCCATCAAACTGAAGAGGGAATATTTCTTTTACAAAGGAAATATACTAGAGACCTACTCAATATAAAATTTGGCATGCTTAATTGCAAGCTTGCGGCTACTCCAATGAGTATCAGTGAGAAATTGCAGCAGGTAAATGAAGAAGAATTGACTTATGCAAAGAGATTCAGAAGCTTGGTTGGAGGTTTGATATATTTGACGCATACTAGACCCGATATTGCATATCATGTTGGTGTTATTTCTAGGTTTATGCAACAACCTTCAAAGGTACACTATGGGGCAGCAAAGAGAGTCTTGCAGTACATTTCTGGAACTTTGGACTTTGGTATTTGGTACTCCAAAACTGATAATTTCAGATTGTGCGGGTACACATATAGTGATTGGGCAAGTTCATTGGACGACATACGAAGTGTTTCGACGAATGTTTTCACTCTAGGTTCAAGTGTGGTGACTTGGAGTTCAAAGATGCAAGCTACAACATCATTGTCAACTTCAGAAGCTGAGTACATTGCAACAACTTTAGCAGCTTGTCAAGCCGTCTAGCTAAGAAGAGTGTTAGCCGATCTTCTAAGGAGAGTGTTAGATGATCTTCAACAGGAGCAGAGAGGAGCAACAGAGATATTTTGCGACAATAAAGCAACTATCTCTATGACAAAAAACCCAACATTCCACCGCAGGACAAAGCATATTGATATTCATTATCATTTTATCTGTGATTTGGTAGCAAATGAGGAAATATTATTGGAATATTGCAGCACACAAGAGCAATTGGATGATGTATTGACAAAGGCTTTATCGAAGGAGAAATTCTGCTATTTCAGAGGATTGTTTGGTGTCTGTAGTTTTGAATCAAGAGGAAATGTTAAAGACTGATTCAATACGATTGAATGAATTGGGACATAGGTAGTTTAGTAGAACTAGTCTTTTGATCTTTGTTAAGTAGTTTCCTATATTTACTCAAGTTCTATTAGTCTTGCTGATTGAGTGTCAAGTGGGTTACATGACCTATATTTTAGGATTAGTTATTTATTTTCTTAGCATATATATCATGTGGGCATATTTTATTATTAAAGTACTTCCAATTAATCAGAAATTCAAACGCAGTCGCAGTTTTCCTTTTTTTTTTTATTATTTATTTCCATATTTCTCTGTATTTTTTCTCCAACAAATTTATCTACTCCTTGGAATAGACAGTGTTGGGACTGGTCGAAAGTTTCCTTCAAGATACCCACCTCATTAATTCTCCAATCCTCCGGAATTGGCCCTAACAAAGATTTGGGTGATCTCAACAAACCCTATTGGGCTCTCCATAGTAATGGTTTCTTCACCACTAAAGCTGTCCAAAAACACCTCACTCTTACCACTCATCATCCCTACTCTTTTTCTTGGCTATGGAAACTTAGGACCTTGGAGAAGCTCAAAGTCATTCTTTGGTTGTGCTCTCAAAGTCGTTTACCCACACAAGCATACTTACACCATATTGGTATCGACACCAACCCAATTTGTCCAATATGCCATCTCACTCAAGCAATCATTACCCACATCTTCTTTGATTGCCACATAGCCCGTAAATTTTGGCTAGACTTAGGCATCAACATATCCCATATTTCTTTCCAGCAAGATCATTGGCTCCTCATTCTAAAGGATTTGAACCCTCTACACGACCAAAGTTTGTTACAGTGGATCGACTTTCTGCCTTTTGCTCTATGGTACCTTTAGCTCAACAGAAACCATAACACCCATAACGATTAAAAATAAAACCATTTAATATATTACCTATAGTCATTCGAGATGCTATCGGAAACTGGATATTGGGCTTCCCCAAAAGAAGCTATAGTCATAACCATACAATGACTAAACTGGAGGCCCTCCTAAATGGCCTAAACATTGCCCACTCTTATAATTTAATGTCAACTGAAACTGAAACTGATTCCATCGAAGCAATAGAACTCTTGGAGAATATCCACCCAACTTACAGTTCCATTATTTTGCATTGTAGGTGAATGTCGAAGAAGTTAGGGAATTCAGTGATCCGCCATAGCCTCCACCAAGGGAACAAGGTAGCCCACGTTTTGTCCAGATCAGGTTGCAAGCTAACACAGACCAATAATCCACATATCCTTCTATCTCCACCAGATATAGTAAAGAAGAGGCTACAAGCAGATCAAGATGGAGTATCTTCTAATAAAATAGTAGTATGGTAGGAGTTATAATCTCACGACTATAATTTTTGGGATAAATTTGTCAGCGAACCAAACAATCCCTATTATAAAGAAACATAGGGTATATGATAGAATTATTATTAAAAAAACAACAGAAAAAGGTCAAAAATACCCTTAAACTATTCGAAATAGCTCATATTTACCCTTAAACTATATTTCGGCTCAAAACTACCCTTCCCGTCAAAGTATTGGGTCAAAAGTGTCCTTATTAACGGAAGTTGTTAAATGCCATGTGGATGCCACATTGCACGCCAATAGGATTCCACTGCCACATAGACTAAAAGGAAAAGGGTAAAAAATACCCTTAAACTATCTAAAATAGCTCATATTTACCCTTAAACTATATTTCGGCTCAAAACTACCCTTCCCGTCAAAGTATTGGGTCAAAAGTGTCCTTATTAACGGAAGTTGTTAAATGCCACATGGATGCCACATTGCACGCCAATAGAGTTCCACTACCACATAGACTAAATAGAAAAGGGTAAAAAATACCCTTAAACTATCTGAAATAGCTCATATTTACCCTTAAACTATATTTCGGCTCAAAACTACCCTTCCCGTCAAAGTATTGGGTCAAAAGTGTCCTTATTAACGGAAGTTGTTAAATGCCACATGGATGCCACATTGCACGCCAATAGAGTTCCACTACCACATAGACTAAATAGAAAAGGGTAAAAAATACCCTTAAACTATCTGAAATAGCTCATATTTACCCTTAAACTATATTTCGGCTCATAACTACCCATTCCGTCAAACTATTGGGTCAAAAGTGCCCTTCTTATTAACGGAAGTTGTTAAATGCCATGTGGATGCCACGTTTCACGCCAATAGGGTTCCACTGCCACATAGACTGAATCCCTAAATCTTAATTACTCTTTTCCCCCATCATTTCATTATTTTTTAGAAACGATCTCACCGCTTCTCCCTCATTTCGCGGCTAGGGTTTCACAGTTTTCTTCGTCGCTGGGTTTCACAGTTTTCTGGCATGCACCAAACACGTCACAAAAAAACGAAAGTAACTTGTTGTAGCAAAAGAATAAGCTTCTTTTCACGAGTCAAATATATGATAATTACATCAGAATAAAATAAAAAGAACTTGGAAAGTAATTCAGATTAGGAACCTTTCAAAATCAGAATCTATTTCTCTCCTCGATTTCCCCATTATCTATAGTCTCCACTTCACTCTAATAATCATTACAAGTAGAATAGAAATGAAGGAGTACAAATTGCCACTAATTAGAAACAAGACCACTGTAAAAGAATTTGCTATAGAAGGACTAATTTTTTCGACAGACCAAAGATGGAAAAAGTTAGCACTTGTACCTACTTTAAATAGATAGGGCTCTCTAACATGAAGTTTTATCATTTATGTTTTTGAGCATTTTCAACTTGGAACAAGTAATGTCACGTACTACCGAGTAACTGAAATAAGTAATGTCACGTACCACCGAGGAACTGCTACTGTGCTGGAACAGAAAATGAATGAACAAGAAGTGGAAAACGACTTGGATAATACTACCTTTTTCCATATGGTGGACAATTTGGAGAGAGAATTTTAAGATGTTCCAAAAATAGGTCAAAACTATTAGAAAGATCAAGATGAAATGTTTTATAATAGTAGTACTAAATTTTTTGAGAATTCTTGTAAAAGTAAAAGAAAGAATATAGACCTGAAGAAAATTAACAAGTATACAGCTATTCATTAGCAGTAAGGAGAAGAACAAAGCTAGTCCTGAAGAAACTATACAGTTAGATATTATTAGCAGCAAGCTATGCCGGACAGTAATCCTTGTTTCCAGAATTATCAAGTTTCCTCCATTTGCCCTGTTAAGTTTTCACCTAAAAAAGACTACTTCCTCTGGTCCAAAATATTTTGGATCAGAGGCCGGAGGGAGTAATCAAAGAAGCCCCCGAGATCAAACAACAGCTCAGTGAAGGACCGAGTGTTATCGGGGCATTCACCTGCCACGAGTTCCTGATGTTCTTTATTTACTATGTCTAGAGGTGTAAAATTCCCTTAAAACACTGTCCAGCAATAGAGGAAGTGTCCAGCGCCATTTCGTTTGAAGTTAGAGACAAAACTATTGTTTCATGAGAGTAGTGGATAAAGGAAAAATAACTAACAAGAACCCAAGCAATCCGGTTTGAAGTTGTCTTTTACATATGTATTGTCTAGTTCTATATCTGAAATAACAAACAGAATTTAACAGCAAAAAAAAGTAACCTTACCAGTTTATTTGAGCTTTTCCACACATTGTTTCTGTTTCGACCTAAGCCCTTATGTAGAAAGAGGAGAAATTAGTCTTTCAATGTAGATTTCCCCCATTCTCCACTCATCATAGTTAATAACCTTTGGATACTTGAAGGAGTCATCCTTTGGATTGTATATAATGAACATTGATTCATACACAACCAAAACATCACCATTATTTGACAAGAAAACGGATGGAAAAAGTAGAGATCTCTCGAGTTTCGGATACATGATATTGGTACACAACTTTGTCCAAGATTCTGTAAGTCCATACTCTTTCATAACCCAAACATCTACGCCAATTGTCCGATGATTAGAAAACCCACAAAGATCACTTCCCAACACTCCCAACTCTGAAATACTACTTCTTCCTCCATAACAGGGCTCCTCCACCTTTCCCCAATTCTCATCAGCTAAACTAAAAGAAGTAATGCCCCTGCGCTTACGCACATTGTGATAAATAGCACTAGTAATCCAATGAAGTTTCCCCTTCATAAACACACTCAGTCAACTGAAGGACGCCCCATCCTGTGAATAATGAATCTTTCTCCAAGAATCACCCTTCAAACTATATATTTTGACGTCAATATGAAGCGAAATTCCATAAATACAAAAAATATCCACTACCTTATAATCATCCCGGATCTCATCATACCCAAAACCATATATGTGGTCGTCATATCTAAATTTATGTCTAGAATTAGGCAATTTCTTGTACTTCCTAATAGATGGATTCCATAGGAACAAATGTATTGGTAAGCGTAACCCATGGACAACACAAATCAATCCATTGATAGAACCCACCGAAAACCCTTCTTTACATTTGTCTTTCATGGGATAATTCAAGTCAGATAGCTCAATTACAGGTCTATAAAATAAAGAGCTAAAAGAACATTCTTTAAGTCTGTAGCAATGCATATCAAACACTAGCATAAGCCTGTGGTGTCTCTGATCCTTGTTGTTATATATACTAAGATGGGTGTTGATAAATTCAGGACTAGATTTCAAAGCAAGCCAAGACTTCGAAACAGACCTGAATTTCAAAAGGGATTTCACTAGCAATCTTGAGA